CATGATTTTAATTACTACAGTAAAAAAATAAAGGAACTAAAACGCAAAATTGTACCTTCTGGAGTTGTAGCTGTGACAAATTTCAATACAAGACTTCCAGGCATAGAGGTAATGTTGCTTTCATAACATTTTCAACTCGAATTGGTGTCTCGTGACTTTATAACAAGCGTATTCTACATGTGCATTTAAAGTTTCATGACTACTTATAAATCACAGATAGAGAATTTCAAAAAAGCCTTTTTTTCTCCATACGGCAACGTCAAACAAGTGAAATTTATCAGTACAGATGATCAACGGAAAGGGTTTGCCTTTCTCTCTCATCATTCTCTCCCTCCCAAGCCTTTTATCTTTAGTTTTATTTTTCTTCCTGAACGTGATTGTTATGTTTTTGGTCATGAAAGCTTAATGGGTCAACATGCAGAACAATGACTGCGAGTCCTAAACATGTGGGATGGATTAAGCTGTCTTCGCAGTTTTGTTGCATATTGGAGGTTCAAAAAAATATATGATATATTTATTAACTATTCTTTGGATGCAATTTTGCCTTTGTATATTTTTTTGATTCAGGAGCTGCTGAGAATGCTCTAAGAGTTGGTTGGACTACGTATGGTGAACATGAGTTAAGGGTGGTACCGACAAAGAAGTATGCAGTTATTTTGTCTAGTGTGTTTTTAGCCATATTCTTTGGTCTCTATTACCAGCTATAAGTTTGTGATGAAACACATCTTTGTTAAATAAATTGAAAAAAGTTTCCATTAGAGTTGCCTTTCTTTTTGGGTGCTGGTGTCTAACTTGACTCATCTGGCTTTGACACAAGGATTTTAGAAACAAGAGTCGAAGAGTTACATAAGTGTCGTTTTGGGACAACCAATTATGTTTTACTGGTTTTTAAATGTAATGTGTGATCTTGTAAAATGTGTCATGGCCCCATTCTATCCCAACCAAGATAGATTGTAACCAACCAATAGTCTTGACTACCAAAGTCCTAACAAGACAAAACAAGTAACGGATTATAGTACCTTCGGGCACATATGCAGAAGCGTTATAATAGTCATAACTTGATTAAGTCCATTCAGAGCAAGTGCATAAGTTATAAATGAAACAAAAATCATTCTTCCTTAACATCTTAAAATATTACATGTATACAAAATTTGCAAAAAAAGTACTACTTCATTCATACTTACACAAAAACTCTCCATCACTACTATTTGCTTATACAAATCTTTTCTTATAAGATCCAAAACTATACATAAGTGTTGTTCTACAAAAGTACATAACAAAGATTTAAAGAATAAACCTTTTTCTAAAACTTGTTGGAAGTCTAGGCCACACGTGCGGGGTTCGTAGCCACATGTGCAGGGGACTATTGTCACGACCCCAACCCCTCCCTAACAAGATGGCGTTATGACCGGGCAGTAGTCGTAGACTACCAAGGCCTAACTTTCAAAACTAACTAAACTCTTATAATAATTGGGGCAAATTTATTCCGTTTACAAGTGCGGAAATCATTATTTTCTTATATCGTATCCAATTAAAACATCCCTTCCGAGTAGTGCATAACGATATAAAATGAAAGCATACATTTCCTATGGATTATTATCTTGCTATTTACATGATCTTTATGACAAAAGTAAAACACAACACTCATGACAAAGCTTTACAAGTCCAGCACAAGCATACAAGACCAGCTTCTAATCAAACTTCTCCTCGTAATCGACCTCTTCATCACCTACGTAGATATATAAGGGAAACGGGTGAGGCATTGCCTAGTGAATAGTAATAAAGTAAGGCGGTAGGTGAATGAACACTGACAAGGTTTATAAAACATAGCATAAAGTCATAACTTGAATATTTATCAAAAAAAGAAATAAATAAATAAAGTCATAACTTGAACATAACTTAACTTGAACATGATAGTACAAAATTTGACTTGCAAACATTTATATAGTGATGAACATTTTAAGGATAACAAGGTGGTTAACCGGCCTGGGTATTGGCTAAACGATCACCCGAAGGTGGCAAGGTGAGCTCGGCCAACATGAGTTGATTGGTTATTCCCCCAATATTGGGAATGCTATCATAATACATGATACAAGAATATAGGATGTTCATTCATAACAAACCATAGCATCGCTTCATAAACATAATCAAGTTTTGCATTGAAAACATAATTTATCAAACATAGTGTTACTAAATTACTAAAAAATGGCTCTTGAACAAGAGTTTCTCCTCCAATGTGCTTGACCTACACAAGGCATACACATAGCATTGAAAACAATTAAACTAACAAGCTTCTAAATTCAGTTCTAGTGTTCCAACTTAACCTAGTGTTTCTTAATATTTTCTTAGATTATCCAAGACTTTTCTAAGCCTAATTCAAGTCTAAATCAAATGTCAAATGTGTATCGAATGCATGTTGTAGACCGCCCGAACTCGCTCCGCGCGCCCCCCTTTTCGGAGAGGGTGTGAATTGGGTTCTAGCTGCTACAATTCGGACTCCTGTCACGGTTCTAAATCTAATAAATCACCAAAGAGTCCAAATCCGGCAAATCGTTTTGGAAAATCGATTTTAATCAAAAGTGTCAAACATGGACTGCTTTGCCAGATTTCAGAGTCACCACCTAAATATTTTATTTTGGAAAATTTAGGAAACCCTGACTCGTGCCTAAGGTCACGTGTCCATCATCACCAAAGTTGCCTCGGCTCGGGAACTTGGGTACGAGAGGGAAAGGTCCTGAAATGAGCACCCCCGCTCGCCCGATCAAAGATCGGCCTCTACTAACATGATATGTTGTTTTTGAAAACACGTGTTCTTATTCTGGTTTATTAACTAACTTACTATGTGATGCGCATAGCATACAAGTATAGACTCAATCACTCAATTTGGAACAAAAGATCTCGGGTTCGTTTGGTTTGTATTTCTGAAAAAATTTTGGGAAATTTTCTCTACAAATAAGTTTTTAAAAGTAATCAAACCAAACAAATTTTCCCAAAAAAATTTCTCAAAACTTGTAAACCAAACAAGTTTTCCAAACAAATCTCTCTCTCACACACATCAAATCAATCACTTTTTCCAAAACTCTCTCTCAAAATAATTTTCCAAAATATCTTTTGAAAAAAACCAAATCAAACAACTTTTCGTACTTTTTATCTCTAAAACACCTCTCTCAAACACAAACCAAACATACCCCTCATGACTGTTTTTCAAAAATGGTTCGAAAGATGCTATCCTCAAGTAGGCTAAAATGTGGATTTGTCACCCTCAAGTGGGCTTAAAACATGATTTTGCCACAAACAAATGGGCTTTAAAACACACATTTTGATGAATTGTTCCAATTCAAGCAATGAAGCCTTCATCCACAGGCATTCATGCAGTTAAACACTTAAGCAGTTAGCCTCATGACAAATATGCTATCATGGCAGTCACTTACACACATGCAAAGATGCTAAAGCATAAACACTTACAGTGTACTCTGAGCCAAAACAGAAGCTCTTTAGAAATCATGTGCATTTCATCTCTTGAGACTTGTATAAAATGTATATACTTTGTTAAAAATTTCCTACTGGGTTTTGATGCTCACCCTACGGGATTTTTGTGCAGGAAAAGATGTGGTGATGCCGCCTTTAGGCGGGGAAATGTGTGTAAGCCAAGTTTTGTACTGTTATGTTCAAGCTAAGTTATGTTCAAGTTATGATTTTATTTATTTATTTAGATAAATATTCAAGTTATAACTATATGTTATGTTTTATAAACCTTGTCGGTGTTCATTCACCTACCGCCTTACTTTATTACTATTCACTAGGCAATGCCTCACCCGTTTCCCTTATATATCTACGTAGGTGATGAAGAGGTCGATTACGAGGAGAAGTTTGATTAGAAGCCAGTCTTGTATGCTTGTGCTGGACTTGTAAAGCTTTGTCATGAGTGTTGTGTTTTACTTTTGTCATATAGATCATGTAAATAGCAAGATAATAATCCATAGGAAATGTATGCTTTCATTTCATATCGTTATGCACTACTCTGAATGGATATTTTAATTAGATACAATATAAAAAAATAATGGTTTCTGCACTTGTAAACGGAATAAATTTGCCCCAATTATTATAAGAGTTTAGTTAGTTTTGAAAGTTAGGCCTTCGGTAGTCTACGACTACTGCCCGGTCACAACGCCATCTTGTTAGGGAGAAGTTAGGGTCGTGACAATAGTCCCCTGCACATGTGGCTACGAACCCCGCACGTGTGGCCTAGACTTCCAACAAGTTTTAGAAAAAGGTTTATGTTTTAAATCTTTGTTATGTACTTTTGTAGAACAACACTTATGTATAGTTTTGGATCTTATAAAAAAAGATTTGTATAAGCAAATAGTAGTGATGGAGAGTTTTTGTGTAAGTATGAATGAAGTAGTACTTTTTTTGCAAGCTTTGTATATATATAATATTTTAAGAGGTTAAGGAAAAATGATTTATGTTTCATTTATAACCTATGCACTTGCTCTGAATGGACTTAATCAAGTTATGACTATTATAACGCTTCCGCATATGTGCCCTACGGTACTATAATCCGTTACTTCTTTTGTCTTGTTAGGACTTTGATAGTCAAGACTATTGGTTGGTCACAATCTATCCTGGTTGGGATAGAATGGGGCCATGACACATTTACAAGATCACACATTACATTTAAAAACCAGTAAAACATAATTGGTTGTCCCAAAACAACACTTATGTAACTTTTCGACTCTTGTTTCTAAAATCCTTGTGTCAAAGCCAGATGAGTCAAGTTAGACACCAGCATCCAAAAAAAAGTAACTCTAATGGAAACATTTTTCAATTTATTTAACAAAGATGTGTTTCATCACAAACTTATAGCTGGTAATAGAGATCAAAGAATATAGCTAAAAACACACAAGACAAAATACCTGCATACTTCTTTGTCGGTACCACACTTAACTCACATTCACCATACGTAGTCCAACCAACTCTTAGAGCATTCTCAGCAGCTCCTGCATCAAAAAAATATACAAAGGCAAAATTACATCCAAAGAATAGTTAATAAATATATCGTATATTATTCTAAACCTCCATTATGCAACAAAACTACGAAGACAGCTTAATCCATCCCATATGTTTGGGACCCGCAGTCATTGTTCTGCATGTTGACCCATTAGGCTTTCATGACCAAAAACATAACAATCACGTTCAGGAAGAAAAAAAAAACTATAGATAGAAGGCTTGAGAGGGGAAGAATGATGAGAGAGAAAGGCAAACCCTTTGCGTTGATCATCTGTACTGATAAATTTCACTTGTTTGATGTTGCCGCATGGAGAAAAAAGACTTTTTATGAAATTCTCTGTCTGTGATTTATAAATAGTCATAAAACTTTAAGTGCACATGTACAATACGCTTGCTATAAAGTCACGAGACACCAATTCGAGTTGAAAATGTTCTGAAAGCAACCTTACCTCTATGTTTGGAAGTCTTGTATCGAAATTTGTCACAGGTACAACTCCAGAAGGTACAGTTTTGCGTTTCAATTCCTTTATCTTTTTACTGTAGTAATTAAAATCATGAAACTCAACCGTTTTCAATAACTTCCATTTGAAGATAAAAGACTCGCTATACTATATCTCGAAAACTCAAGCTCAATTGGAAAGCCCAACAAATGACTCCCATTTAATTTGAGAGCCTGCAATAAGTACACATATTGAAAGAAACATATTTATTTCGGAAATAACTTCATTAACCATGTCATCCTCCCGAGAAGCTGACTCCACGAGTGGTACTGCGTACCCCGTGCATTATGCCCAAAGACCAACCCAGGAGATGCGATAGAGATCTACCTTGCCTGCCTTGCCGCTCACAAACTAATGCGCTTGCAAGGTACTGAGTGTAGAACTCGCATCCCTAATGAGTTGGTACGTGACATGCTACCACCACCAGTCCCTGACGCCCTCGTCAAGGGGACATTACTCTGCCTGCCTCCATGCTTGTCCGTTTCCCCACCCACGGGAAACCCGCCCCGCGCAGACACCACCCTTGGTGCGGACCCTACGATGAAGGTGCTTGGTGTAAGTCTCACGTACCGTCCCCATCACAATGCCCCTAGGCTGGCTCTGATATCACTTGTCACAGATTGGGCGCTTGTCATCCTCTCGAGAAGCCGGCTCCACGAGTGGTACTGCATACCCCCATGCATTATGTCCAAGGACCAACCCAGGAGATGCGATAGGGATCTACCCTGTCTACCTTACTGCTCACAAACTAATGCGCTTGCAAGGTGCTTGGTATAGAACTCGCATCCCTAATGAATCGGTACATGAATGGTTCATGAAGTTATTTTCGAAATAAATATGTTTTTTCAATGTGTACTTATTGCAGGCTCTCAAATTAAATGGAAGTCATTTGTTGGGCTGGCCAATTGAGCTTGAGTTTTCGAGATATAGTATAGCAGGTCTTTTATCTTCAAATGGAAGTTACTAAAAACTGTTGAGTTTCATGATTTTAATTACTACAGTAAAAAGATAAAGGAACTAAAACGCAAAATTGTACCTTTTGGAGTTGTAGCTATGACAAATTTCGATACAAGACTTCCAGATATAGAGGTAATGTCGCTTTCATAACATTTTCAACTCGAATTGGTGTCTCGTGACTTTAGAGCAAGCGTATTCTACATGTGCACTTAAAGTTTCATGACTATTTATAAATCACAGATAGAGAATTTCAAAAAAAGCTGTTTTTTCTCCATGCGGCAACGTCAAACAAGTGAAATTTATCAATACAAATGACCAACACAAAAGGTTTGCCTTTCTCTCTTATCATTCTCTCCCTCCCAAGCCTTTTATCTTTAGTTTTATTTTTCTTCCTGAACGTGATTGTTATATTTTTGGTCATGAAAGCCTAATGGGTCAACATGCAGAACAATGACTGCGAGTCCTAAACATGAGGGATGGATTAAGCTGTCTTGGCAGTTTTGTTGCATATTGGAGGTTCAAAATAATATATGATATATTTATTAACTATTCTTTGGATGCAATTTTGCCTTTGTATATTTTTCTGATTCAGGAGCTGCTGAGAATGCTCTAAGAGTTGGTTGGACAACGTATGGTGAACGTGAGTTGACGGTGATACCGACAAAGAAGTATGCAGGTATTTTGTCTTGTGCGTTTTTAGCCATATTCTTTGGTCTCTATTACCAGCTATAAGTTTGCGATGAAACACATCTTTGTTAAATAAACTGAAAAAAGTTTCCATTAGAGTTGCCTTTCTTTTTGGGCGTTGGTGTCTAACTTGACTCATCTGGCTTTGACACAAGGATTTTAAAAACAAGAGTCGAAGAGTTACATAAGTGTCGTTTTGGGACAACCAATTATGTTTTACTGGTTTTTAAATGTAATGTGTGAGCTTGTAAAATGTATCATGGCCCCATTCTATCCCAACCAGGATAGATTGTGACCAGCCAATAGTCTTGACTACCAAAGTCCTAACAAGACAAAACAAGTAACGGATTATAGTACCTTAGGGCACATATGCGAAAGCGTTATAATAGTCATAACTTGATTAAGTCCGTTCAGAGCAAGTGCATAGGTTATAAATGGAACATAAATCATTCTTCCTTAACCTCTTAAAATATTACATGTATACAAAGCTTGCAAAAAAAGTACTACTTCATTCATACTTACACAAAAACTCTCCATCACTACTATTTGCTTATACAAATCTTTTCTTATAAGATCCAAAACTATACATAAATGTTGTTCTATAAAAGTACATAACAAAGATTTAAATCAGAAACCTTTTTCTAAAACTTGTTGGAAGTCTAGGCCATACGTACGGGGTTCGTAGCCACATGTGCAGGGGACTATTGTCACGACCCCAACCCCTCCCTAACAAGATGGCGTTGTGACCGAGCAGTAGTCGTAGACTACCAAGGCCTAACTTTCAAAACTAACTGAACTCTTATAATAATTAGGGCAAATTTATTCCGTTTACAAGTGCGGAAACCATTATTTTCTTATATCGTATCCAATTAAAACATCCCTTCCGAGTAGTGCATAACGATATGAAATAAAAACACACATTTCCTATGTATTATTATCTTACTATTTACATGATCTATATGACAAAAGTAAAACACAACACTCATAACAAAGCTTTACAAGTCCAACACAAGCATACAAGACCGGCTTCTAATCAAACTTCTCCTCGTAATCGACCTCTTCATCACCTACGTAGATATATAAAGGAAACAGGTGAGGCATTGCCTCGTGAATAGTAATAAAGTAAGGTGGTAGGTGAATGAACACTGACAAGGTTTATAAAACATAGCATAAAGTCATAACTTGAATATTTATCAAAAAAAGAAATAAATAAATAAAGTCATAACTTGAACATAACTTAGCTTGAACATAATAGTACAAAATTTGACTTGCAAACATTTATATAGTGATGAACATTTTAAGGATAACAAGGTGGTTAACCGGCCTGGGTATTGGCTAAACGATCACCCGGAGGTGGCAAGGTGAGCTCGGCCAACATGAGTTGATTGGTTATTCCCCCAATATTGGGAATGCTATCATAATACATGATATAAGAATATAGGATGTTCATTCATAACAAACCATAGCATCGCTTCATAAACATAATCAAGTTTTGCATTGAAAACATAATTTATCAAATATAGTGTTACTAAATTACTAAAAAATGGCTCTTGAACAAAAGTTTCTCCTCCGATGTGCTTGACCTACACAAGGCATAAACATAGCATTGAAAACAATTAAACTAACAAGCTTCTAAATTCAGTTTGTGTTCCAACTTAACCTAGTGTTTCTTAATATTTTCTTAGATTATCCAAGACTTTTCTAAGCCTAATTCAAGTCTAAATCAAGTGTCAAATGTGTATCGAATGCATGTTGTAGACCGCCCGAACTCGCTCCGCGCGCCCCCCTTTTCAGAGAGGGCGCGAATTAGGTTCTAGCTGCTACAATTCGAACTCCTGTCACGGTTCTAAATCTAATCTCACAAAGTGCAATGTAAGACTGATAAATCACCAAAGAGTCCAAATCTGGCAAATCGTTTTGGAAAATTGATTTTAATTAAAAGTGCCAAACATGGACTGCTTTGCCAGATTTCAGAGTCGCCACCTAAATATTTTATTTTGGAAAATTTAGGAAACCCTGACTCGTGCCTAAGGCCACGTGTCCGTCATCACCAAAGTTACCTCGGCTTGGGAACTTGGGTACGAGAGGGAAAGGTCCTGAAATGAGCACCCCCGCTCGCCCGATCAAAGATCGGCCTCTACTAACAGCGTAAAAGCTTACCGAGTACTCCAAGGCGTTATGGCAGGTCTAAAAAGTCACAAAAAAGAGCCGAAACAAAGCCACTAAGAAGTAGAAACACATGCTCTTTTGATGGGCCATCAACACATACAAACAAGAAAAGAGGAGAGGGGACCAGCCCCACCTATTTGGGACCTCAAAACCACCTTTCCACCACTGAAATTCCTCTAAGTTTCAGTGGTGGGAAGGCCAAAAAGAGATGGTCCCAAAATCTTTTAAAAGATAGCAAGAAGCCAAGCAAATAAGGCACAAAAGAGTGAGAGACACCCCTAACTCAAACAAAGCCTCAAACAACCTTTTTAAACACTTTAAAACAAAGATTTTTGTAGTTGAAAGCAAGGCCTAAAATAGGATGCAAAGGTGGCCAAATATGCAACCAAAACAAAGATATGAATGCTACACTTGATACATGTATTCAAATAGGAATTGAAATACAATGCAGTTTGAATGATGCGCCGAGCCCGGTGCATGCAATACGAATGAATGATGCACGCATGCAAAGCATAAGTATGCTAATTGAAACATGCCCTAAAACTAACCATCAAAAGGTGGTAAATAGAAGAGAGAAACACCTGGGGTTGGAAGACATTCACACACTCACGCACACTTATTACAACATTGTGCCCTCTCGACAGAGGGTCCGAATGAAAGCTAAGCTATTCTAAGCTAAGCTACTTAACAAATTATTACAAATCAACTAATTAAACAAATCAATTAAGTTACAAAGCCAATTAAACTTAACAAATAAAGCCTTAAAATATGCTGCCACAGCTCTGTTTGGAAAATGAACATGCATGCACTCGGTTTCTCACCCCGAAAAGCTCTCTGGATGCTCTTTAGAGGCTCTGTTTGCAGGGTGTCTTCCAGTTCTTGTTGCTAAAACTTACCAAAACAGTGCTGGAGAATGCACCAGTGGCCTGCCGGCCATGAATGGTGGCTGCCGACCCCCCTGCCGGCCAAGGATGAACACTGCCAGCCACAGATGAAAGGGTGCTGGCCATCAGTGAGAGGGTGCCGGCCACTGGGGTGCTGTGACACCAAGCTGCAATAGAGCACAAAATAGAGAAAATAGAGAAAATAGAGGGCCTCCCTAGAACATGTATGTACTATGCCCTTCCATATCATCTCAAAACATCAAGGGAGAGGCATAATTGGATCCAAAACCATCAATCAAGCATCGCAATGCCTGATGGCCAAAGATCCAACTTGTACAAATTTCAATAAATGCAATGCAAACAAGACACTAAGACAATGGCCTTATCATGAGCGATCAAAGGCAATGGAGACAAAGGGGATTTGCTCACTTTCATCACTTTGAGTATGAGGTGGACTAATCCGCCTTATGATCAACGTAATGCCCGATTGAACACAATGCAATGCACACAAACAACATGTTATGCAAACAATCATGCTAATCTTGACATGTTAAAATGGCATGCATGAGACTCTATCATGCAAGCAATGCATGCATGGCATTGTTTAAAGGCTAAGGCATCAAAACTAGTGAAGTGCAATAGGCAGGAGGCATGCAATACAATGCTCAAGGGACTAAACCAGCCCCAAACAGACCCCATGCATGCCAAAACAGTGGCAAAAACATGTTGGAATTGAAGCTCAAAGGACTAGACAAACATGCATACATGTTGGACCACAAACAAGACACAATGCTCAACTCTCAAAAAGCGTTGAAAGAGTGAAACATGTGAGAGTATGGCCATACACACTGAAATCATGTTAGAAATGAGGCCAAAGCATGCAAACAACTCAAGTAATGCATGCTAGAGACTTGACACTCAAAACTAGTCAAAGCCACTTACACTACAACCATACGAGACAAGCCTCACATGGCCAAGACCAACCAAAACAGAGCTAAGGCATGCTAAAATAACACCAAAAACATGCTGAGATAGAACCAAAATAGGCTAGCATGATGGATCAAAGCATTGAGCACACGAGGCTAAATGGCAAGATTACACTACTAGTGTAAAAAGCATGCATGAGGTGACTCAACCAAGCCAAAACAGAGTTATGCCATGCTGAAATAAGGCCAAAAATAGGCTGAGAACAGGCCAACACATGCCAGAAACACATGCTCAATAATTAGGCCAACAAGGCAAACAAACAAGACAAGAGAAGAGGGGACCACCCCCTCTCATTTTGGACCTCAAAACCACATTTCTACCACTGAAAATCCACTGGATTTCAGTAGCTAAAAGGCCAAACAAAGATGACCTCAAAGGCCTTAAGAGATGGCACAAAGCAAGGCCAAACAAGCCACCAAGGGGGTAAACCACCCCTAATTCAAACAAAGCCTTAAACAACCATTTTAAGCACTTAAATACAGAACTTTTTTCAGTTGAAACTTAGGTCAAAAAAAGCATGCAAAGGTGGCCAAATATGCAACCAAAACAAAGCTTAGGAGGGGCAATAGGACTCACCCTTGAAGAACAATAAGAACAGCAACTTCTTCAGCCTAAAACCAGCTTTCAGAACTCAAATAACACTCCCAAGAACCTCAGCTCAGTAATGGTGGTGTTTTACTAGGTGTTTGTGTGCAAAAGTATCAAGAAACAACACTTTTGAGGCAATATAGCACAAATATAGAGAGAGAGGGAGAATTCTAGTGTGAGAGAGATCTCTTTAGCTTAGAAAAATGCTGAACCTCTCTGGAAAGGGAAAAGAGCCTCCCCTTATATAGAGCAATGCCATGCAAAGCTTGCTTGACAAGCTTGAAATGGCCTCCATCCCTCCATACAGGAGGATGGCTCAGTGAAAAACAGCTGGCTCAAAAGATCCAACATAATATCTACTGAAACAAGGTGTCCTGCCGGCCATCAGTGGTGGCCGGCAGTGCCTTATTGATTGCCGGCAAGCCTTATAAATGGCCGGCAGTACCAAAAAGTGGCTGACAGCGCACCACAAGAAGCATGCCAAAAGGACCAACACATGGTCCAAAAATGAAGCAGAAAGGATACAGGGTTTGGAAAGCTCAAACCTGTGACGTTCCGCCGCGAAATTCGAGTACTCGACGAGCAATCGAACTTGTCATTAGATGTACCTGCAAGCATATCCAAGTCTTGAGGACGGTAAAAAATGAGATGTCTACACATGCCTAGAAGCATCCTAGGTGAGTAAGGTCTGAAAAATGTTGAAGAGTGTCAAAGACGTACGCTGAAGAGCTCTAAGTATCCCATAACCATTTCATATGCTTTACATTGAAAAATATCACGTTTAGATGTTTAAAGTTTAAGGAAAAAGGAAGAAATGAAAGAGAACCAAGCCAAGCCAGAAATTGTAATGAAATGGTTGAAAAGAAAGTAAACAACCTTCATTATTTTAAACATGTCTCTTTGTATACATGGAATTTCGATGTGAGACTACCACCATTGGAAATTAGACTCATTTAGATTCAATAATTGCTTAAAATGGAGTCCGGATGAGAGATATGTTCATTTGAAGTTGGGTTGAAACAAGGGTTTCGCACGTGCGCCCACCTTCGCCACTCGTACAGTGGCCTAGGCCGCACGAGCGGTGGCTTAAGTTAGGGTAGATTGGGTTTTGCGCGCTCGTGCGCCCAATGATGGCCGCTCAAGTGCCCAACAATCAGAAGTCAAGGCAAAAGTTGTTCTTCAGGTTTTTGGGCTTCCTAACTTGATTTTCTTCATCGCCAAACCTCAAAACATGGTTTCTAAGGTACAATAATATAGATAAATGATGCATGATTCATGGGAAAACATTTTTATGCATTGAACTTAAAGTTTCATGAACATGATTTTTATTAAGAAATCCACAAGTCTAGTTTCTTTTCAACTCTTTTTCTAACTTCTTTTCTCTCCTTCAAAACATGAATTTGAATATACAAAATTCTTGAAAATCAAAGGAACATGTGAAGATGAAAGCTTATATGCATCAAGGACATCAAAAACTTAACCAAAATGATGAATTCTTATGCTTCCTATCTAGCTCTTCAACCTAGCCCAACTTTTTTCATTCCAACCCTCATTTCTTCTTTATTAATTCAAATAGACCCCAACTTTTTCTCAATCTTGGATGCTAGGAGGGTTTACTACAAGATTTGGGATTGAAATCTTACTTTGGAACACTCTCTAGGTTGAATTTGAGCTACAGTTTCCATCCCCTCTTCTTTCTCCTTTCTTTTCTTCCTTTCCTCCCTCCTCCTTTCTTCTCTCTCGTTTGTTATAGTCTTCTACAGAATTTTTTCTCTTTGTTTGGTTTTATTGAGTTGAACAATACAAAGAGTTATAGGATTTGATGAGCTAGAGATGAAAGAGGTGTTATACAATGATAAAGTCGATGGAATTAAAAATTGAAGTTTCAAGTTTCCCAACTTCAAGGGGTTTTCTTTTATTTTTGCTTAATTTGCTTTTAAAATAAACTCTGTTTTGTAATTTCTCCTATTTAATTTGCTTTAGTCTCGGTATCGTTGAGCTATGATTTGTCTTTTAGCTTTGTAATTTTTCCTTTAGCTTTGGTATTGAACTTTGATTTATAGGTTGAATCTCAAACTATAAATTTTATTAGCATACCCTAGTTGTACCCATATCCTATTTTTTTCAAGTTTTTCCATTTTGACATGCCCGTACCAGTATCCATACCCGCACCCATGCTTCATAGATGGGGGTTATGTTTGTCAAGTTATCCCAAACGTAATTACAATCTACTCATTCCCATATGCAAGTTCTGTGTAAAATTGAATGTAGGTTATGCTTAATAGTTGAGAGCAAAATAGTTGACTAACAGAAAATAAGACATTTCAATAACACAATTCAAGACCATCCAATTCAATTAGAAAAGCAAAACAATACATAGGATGCTAAGATAATACCCACACAAAAAATATATCATTTTTCTTTGTTCCATTTGTCTTTTTGTGATCACTCAATATTATCTGCTTTTATAACTCATCACAATGATTGGAAGGAGAGGGAAGGAGCAAAAAGAATATATAACTTGCAGTGCACTGTCACAATATTCTGAAGCTTAAACTAATATCTTAATGTCTAGCAACAATTGCTATATTTTTATCAAAAACTGCCAAAAAAAGGAGCAAACCATGTACACTCAAAAAACAAAAATCCATGTGTCCAAAAATCCATTCCATCCCAAATTTCCTATGAAATGCACAAAAATCAAAATGGAGAAATGACAATCCGCTCTCATTAATAAAAATAATAAGAAGAAACCAAATTTCAAGCTATAAATGGGTAACTCAATACCATTAAAAGATCTCCCTATTACATTCCATTCAAAGTCTCCACAAAACATAAATAGTTGAAGACTGCCACACAATTTTCTCCATCTTTTTTGAACAATAAGAAGACCAACAGGCAGAAAGCTCAATCATTAAAAACAGCATTACCCATTTAATGCCAAAAACTAAGCAAATTAAACTCTATAATTCATCGTCCATAGGACCAATCAAAAATCACTTTGCATCTCTTCCTAAGATTGTCAATAATTAAATGGCTATAATGTGCATCAGTTCAAGCACAAAAGCAACCATAGGAGGGGTGGGCCTTGCTTTTCCAAATACCTATCTATGAGAGAGAGTGCCCACAACCATATGAATCGTTGAGACATACAAACCAAACTAAGCTTTATGACCCAGTTAAGTGGGGACAGCTACCTGAATCATTGAGTCATGTCATATATTAAATCACAAATCCTAAATGGACTAAATTTGTATTGCTGCTACTAAAAGGTGGCAGCCAATACATGACATTGACACGGGCAAGGTAATACCCTAAATCATATACCCTTTTCCCTTCTAACATGCCAACACTCAACCAAGTGAATGGTTAATTAAGAAAATGACGAAATAGATAGAAGAAAGGCATAACAACAATATTGGTATCCAATACCATGAGGGTGACCTTGTATATGTGAGCAGTCACAAGTACCTCTAGTAATTAGGCACAAAGATGGCACAAGAGCACTAGACATGGAGAAGGAGAGAAATGATGTAGCCTTAGACTTTGAGAGAGTGGCAGCGGAGGAGGAGCCTCTAGACATGCCATGGAGATGGAGGTTGCACTCTAGTGTGTAGAGGAGCTTTCCTTGAGGTGCCTTGTGTAGAGGTGGAGACCACCTTTCATAGAGTTGGTCCATGGAGGTCAATTCATCCTTGACTTGGTCAAAAGGATAAGTGAGTGATGTGAAACATATGAACACGACATAGATTTTATAATTTGTGAGACTAGGGCAGTGGCCCTTGGGATCAGTTAGATAGTTAAATGGATTTCTTAATGCAGAACATGTGCGCAATATTTTTAATCAAGTTTATGTTTACTTTTAATATTTACGCTTATTTGTTTTATTTATATTTTTATATTTAATTTCGTATTCTACTAGGGATTAAGTTTCCAAATAATATGAAAATTTAGTTTCCTATTTTCAATTAGGGTTTCTAGCCAATATATTTAGGGATTTGCATTGTAATAGTTAGCTTTGGATTATTAATATTGAGTATATAAGGCTATGGTAATTTTGTGTTAGTGTTGTCTTGTGGCCCTTTTCCTTCCTCCTACTTTTTCTTCTTCTCTTCTCTTCTTTTTCATCCTCGAGTTCCCATTGAAATACTGAATTTGTCCATGCCAACAAATCAAATATTTCAAATAGGTCAATTGCTAGATTTTCTTTTCGCTCCAAGTAATTCCTAAGGTCAGATGTTGATGAGGTCCATCAAATACAGATTGTGAAATGCCCCGATTTTTCAAAGATTAATTAGGCGGAAACTAACTAAACAAAACATGAGGTTTTTAAAAGAAACCTCATTCTCATTCAATTAATTATAAAAATCTTTTTCAAAACCATTTTCTTTTTACAGTCTATATAAGAAAATACCATGGATGAAACCATAAACTCACTCTCCGTGTATTTCAATTAATATTATATAATCATCACAAATGGAATGCCCCCAAGCCTACAAAAAATGAGAGGGCACTGCTCCTTACAAAGAACGGCACTCAACCAAATAAACAAATGAAGTATTACAATTCATCACTACATTACACCTATGAAACGGTAAAACTAGCTGTTTTTAGTCTTCAAATCCGACAAGCATTCCTTGTACTACTAGCTCACCAAGCAATCTCATATTATAACGTTAAAAGACATGAAGGTACAGTGATATAGTCATACTATACATATATATATAGTCATATCATGACGTAACCTTATTGTTTTATTAGCTAATCCCTTAAATCCAATTTATTTAATTAACAAAAACTATTTAACTTAAATAAATTAACATGCTTCAATGTCAACAAGACATCTTTTTCAAAATGAATGCGATGCCAAAGTTTATAATACGAGTTATATGCATGTATTTTCTTCAAAGCAGAAAACAGGCGGTAAATACACACACTGGGAATCCCTAAGTACGTGTTTGCAAGTAGGCAATACAAGCACTACCAAAAGCCATTTTACC